CATTGAGACAATTGCGTTAACTGAAAACCCAAGTTCGAAGTGTGTCCCCCTCCGTTTCCAGGAGTTCCTTTTGCGTGTGCGATTCAAGAGTGCAGGGGGATGGGTCACCACTGATACTACCCGTCCAACGAAGAGGGTATCAGTTGGTGCTGATGCAGTGGGGGACGCTCCACTGTGTACCTGCAAACAAGACACCACTTTTCCTGCGCCATGTGTGTGTGTGTGTCCCACTCTGTATCTAAGAGTTTCTACCGCTCAGAAATTTTTCAAGCAGGGGCGTGTGGCCTCCTTGTCCTACCACACGCAACGAAGCTGTGGACAAGAAGGGGAAGCAGGGACTGATCATCCCTGTGTACCTGCACCTTCAACTGTTGACCATGCTTTTCCACTTTCGATTTGATTCATGGTGGTTGTCCATGATACCTTCCCGCACAGGTTTTCCCTCCGCTCTGCAGCCGCTGATCGCCGCTTTCCCTTGAGCGCTTGCGAAGCATTGGTTCAACAAGACTTCTCCGCGGACTCTGCCACCTTTCCGTTCCATCGCCCTTTTCCACCTGGGAACTGAGTTAACTGCAAACCCAATGTCAGAGTGTGTGTGTGTCCCCCTCCGTTTCCAGGAGTTCCTTTTGCGTGTGCCATTCAAGAGTGCAAGGGGACGGGTCACCACTGATACTACCCGTCCAACGAAGAGGGTATCAGCTGGTGCTGATGCAGTGGGGGACGCTCCACTGTGTACCTGCAAACAAGACACCACTTTTCCTGCGCCGTTCCTTGCTTTAATGGTTGTTTCATGCTATTCTCCCAAACCATTTCCAACGGATTTGCAGCAGTTTTGCGGCCGGTCTCGCGCGTGTTTGCACTGAAGCCAATGTTCAACATTTCAAGGGAGCTGACTCCGCCGTGTTGCCGTTGCCTCATTCTCTTCCTTGTGGATTATCTTTACTACTGAATGAACCATATCAAAGTGTGTGTGTGTTTGTTCAGATAGCAGGTGAACAATCGGATGAGTTCATGCCCTTGGAACAATGGCTGAACTGCCAAAATCAATAGATTGTGAAGATCCTCCACCATGCCAGTGGGTTCTGGGTTCCACTGGCACTTTTGAAACTTGATATATAATATGGGTATGATGGCACTCGGCCCTTGCCAGCGTTGAATCAGACACGCCTCTCCCAGTATTTTATGACTGCATCGCTGCATGACATTCTGAGTAATTAACTACGTTCTTTGGGTGAAACAGTCGTGAGTTGTTATTGTAGTTTCACTTGTGAATGTTGCAGGTGTTTTTACGATCTCAAAATGTTCTTTTGACGTTCACAAAGTTCACCACTTGAGTGAGTGCTCGTGAAACTTGAATCAGTTCCACAATGATTCTGGTGCGCTGGTGCGACTGGCGAAGGAATTTTTCGTGAGGAGTGGAGATGATGGGGTTCAATCTAACACAATGATATGATGGACTGTTGTTCTGTTTGGCTGTTTGGGTCACTTGAGTCATTGAGTGGGACGTCATTGTTTTGATGTCTTGAAACGCATATGAAGTTTGCCCTATGATATAGGGGGTCGACATGACATGTGTGATGTATAGATATTTTCGCAAGTAAGAGTACCACCAGATGCGTAGTGCCACCTGGCTGTTCATTGCTGTGTTCTATCCAGTGGCACCTCTCGGGTTTCAACACGTGAGGTTGGGATGGAATCCATTGGCATCACCGTGCAGACCGATGGCAGTGTCTTGGTCCAGGGTGGATACGTGCATTCCGTCGACAAGAAAGGTCACATGCGGAGGTTGGAGCAGAAGAAGAGCCTTGGCCTGGTTGGATTGGAAGAGGTTCATTCAGTTCTTTGCCTGGTTGGCTTGCCACATACTTCTTCACCAGAATGTCCCCCTTGTAAATGTTTCTCACCATAGAGGGCATGGCGTCGCGGCGTGAGATTGGCCTGAAAGAGTGGATTTGGGGCGTGGACCTGCCAGAGTGACCAATCAAGTGCCAATGTGGTGCCACTTTTGCTGGGATCATGGGATCATGGTCAGGATCAATTCATGTTTTGTGAAAAGGTCCTTGCGAACATGGTAGTCAAGTGGTCAGCACATGCCACCACTAAGATTGCTACCATGTTTGTGAATTCTTTCGGCACCCACAACCACAAAGAGCATTGTATCTAACTAACGCTTTTAATAGTGTCCTTCCCTTTGCTGGACCTGTGCTTCAAAAGGAAGACCTATTCTCTGACACTGCCAGCCACGATGAGGCAATTTCGGGACACCCAAAATTGAAACTGCGACACACACACACACACACACACACACACAGGACCAAGGACCACCCCAAATGTTGGATTTCAGGTGTTTTGCAATGTTGCCAGTTCGTGCAAAGCGATGCTGGGTCAGGTAGTCAGCTTGTCCAAATTGCACCAGCTTACTCAACTTACCATGGATCTACAGACGGCGTCTTCCAAGGAGGGGTCGCGTTTGCTTGGACGGCGTCCGCTTCCTCACCTGTGCGGGGTCTCCTCTGAATGTCTCCCCTCTCTTGGAGACCAAGCAGAACACCAACAACTTCACCGCGAACAGTACATTGAGGGTGACTTGGATGTGGAGGTGGTCAGTCGGGAGGGTTTGCCGTGAAGCCATCTACTGTACTGCATACCTTGAACAAGAAACGCAAAAAAAATGTCCATGGACTTTGATCAAAGAACCCAGTGGGTGAAACTACGACACATCGGAGATCAAATCTACAGGAGCTGGTTCCTCACAGTTTCTTTGTCATGAAAGGTAGCCTGGTAAGGGCTAGCTTGAGTTTGCTTTGCGAAGCAAAGAGGGGTTACCCCCCCCCCCAATGTGATGAATAATTGTTTAATAAATCATTTTGGTGAACCCCCCCCTCGCCAGCATCACTATCATCACCCACCATAGCATGAAGTCCATTCACTGGCAGTAACAGCAGTGCCCCTACAATGACGCGTGGGTGCAGCTCTTACACATGCCAGCGTTAGCACGCCGCAACTTTAATGCAAGCCAGCGTTCACACACCATATTGCTCTACACAACGCGCGTTCAGCACAGCTTGGCGCCAGGCAATTCTTAAACACCACCGCCCTCACATACACCAGTGTTGACAAGCCTCCACAACACCACATGTTGTGTTTTTGCCAGTGACGTTTTTGGACGAGTCCTGATGGTCAATCTGATTTGATTGAGACTTTGCTGCAGGGCAATTGGATTGAGGACATGCGCAAGAAATTTGGTAAGGAGGGAATCACAGTTGATGTCTCGGAGACCCTTTCCAGTTGGAAACATGCACTAAAGCCCTGTAAACACTGAAGCGGCGGGTGCTCCAGTTGCGAGGACCTCAAGAGCTCCGCATGTTGATCATGTTGGGATTTTCTTGAAGTGTTCATCCTGCCCCAGCCATCATGTAGGGCGGCGCATGAATCCTTGGGGCCTTTGAGTTGGCTATCTTAAGCACGAACCCAACCTACACAACTACAATGACAAGCTAGCCTGGAAATAGAAAAACTGGAATCTCTGCCTGATTTGATATTGTCTTATGAACATTACCGTACCAAAAGCAGTTTTCCATGGCATGGCCCTGCCGAAGGCGTGTGTTTCACGGGACTCTCACTGCATCATGGGTCGCCCAGTGTCGCCCGCCTGAGGACAAGTTTGCGGCGAACACTCGCAGCGCCTCGCTTTCGATCATACAGGATCATGATGGATAAACCTAAAATGCGGGTGCCTCTTAAAATGACATGTAAGGAACCATAGCTTGAGTACGATGAGAAGGCTGAGGTGAGTTGGGTGTCTTCGTTTTTGTTCAGCATCGAACATTGAGTTTTCAAATTTCAATTTTCTGAGCCTTTAGGCCTTTAAGGAATCCAACTCATTTGCGTATAGACCGCTGTGCACCTGCCTTAGCACCACTGTATGATGTGTTGGTTTGTTTGTTCAACAGTCCTTGCACAAAATGTCAAACTGAAGTGGCAAGAAACCTTCCCACACAAAGCCAAAATACCGAACATCGCCTCTTCCTTTTTCACCGCCCCACACATCATGATGTTGGGTGGTTTTGGCGGGTTGGTGTCGGAGGACGGCGCACAGCTGGTCCTCCAATCAATTCCCGTTTGTTCAGCTCAGTTGACCGAAACCACCCCAGGTGCATCCTACAAGAAAATGGGTGAGGTGGTCGTGCTGGAAGGCGTGACATACCAGTACCTGCTGTTTCTGTTTGCGTTGGGCATGGAACTTGAAGGAGAAAGTATGAATGTTGTTCATTTCACTCGTGCATTTACTCAATGTAACTCATGTATAGACAAGATGAGACGTTGTTCCGAAACAACTGTTTCACATCCAAAAGGTTTTAGCGCGATGCATGTGTCTTTGTTCGATCATGACAGCATATGAATGTCACACGCTGCGCTTGAAGGTGCATTGGAGTGGGAGAAGCCCTTGCGGAACACCAAGTTGGCCTTGGCTCGTCTCCCAGATGATTGCCAGCCGGGCAAGCGGCTCTCCTTTTTCACTCGCGGCCGCTCTGAGGAGCAGAGAGATACGATGTTATACAAATTGATGCATTGGGCGTCGCACCACTCTTGAATTCTTTTTGTTACATACTTTTAGTATATTATATATATAGTATATACTGTATATAATCTTGAGTACTGGACACCACCCTTTATGCTAGTATTGATATGTATATATTGCTTGTCTTCAATCAACCGTCAATCGATTGATCAATCACGTTGCTTCAGTCTCCTTGGGGTCATAGATGCATGATGCATGACCCCAACACGATTGTCAAGTTGTTGTGGGGTACACAGATAGCCCTGGGAGGAGCGCTGTCGAGTGGACGTTGACCAATGGGGCCGAATCTTCTGCCCAGAGCATCTTGCCCAGTCAGGGGGGTGATGTGGGTGCTTTGGGTGTTTGGGATGATGCATGCAATTACTCTTCAAAGAGCCATGGACATAACAGCAAAATCCAATAGGAACCAAGAGGTGTTTCTTTAGATTGCGTGTTTCTTTCGATTACTTTGATTACTCCTATTGGTTGCTTGCAGTTTACAGCAGGTGATCATTGTTGAGACTATTATCTCAAATCTGTTTCCTTCCTCCGTTAGTGTCATGCCCCAAGGCATCCCTTAGCGTCATGCCCCACACCACCCAGTTGGCCAGTATATCTCCACGAAATACACACCGGAAACGTGTGCCCTACAAACCTCTCCAAGGTCACCAGGCGTTTGTGGCGTGGAGCTCAGCGGCATCATTTTCGTAGCCTCGAGCACGCCAGAGCCACTCGATCGGTGGGCCATGTTTCGGGGCCTTTCTGATCGATTCGTCGCAGGGCTTGGCGGCTGGGGACCCTGGCTGTTTTGCGTTCCTTCGGTGTTGGATCCATTGTGTGGCACGTGTTGATGTTGGGGTGGTTTGGTGGACAAATGCGGTGTTTCTTGGCAGGTGCTTTTTGACCACCGCAACACAATGATCAAGTAAATCTCTTGCTTTTGGATCATGCCGGCATAATGCCACCTTGTTACAGACCAGGTGAGAGGGTACAGCTGTTTCCAAGCTGGGAGGGTGTACTTTTCAGCTGGGGTTGATGGATTAGAGAGACTTTTTAAGGATGATTGGAACATATTGGAACCACCATTACGAAGATTGGCATTGGATGGTATTGGTACTCATAAGCTCAGCACTGAATATGTCAAACACCATTTTCCCCAAACAAAACCCAGCACTTCCCTGGAGTCTTTGAGGTCAGACACCGGGACCGGGAGTGTTTCTTGGGGACCTTATTCTATAATAGCTTCTTGTTACTACTAGTAAGGCACCTGTTACTAGAAGCGATGCACTTGTTACTACTAGCGTGGCACTTGTTTCTAATTATTCTGATTTCGTGTCGACCAAAGTCGACGGGGTTCGGAGCGTCGCTTTTGTGTCGGATGTTCCGAGGTCGCAAGCCCCCAGGGACCATCAATGGGACAATTTGGATCTCCAGTATGCCCAAGCACTCGAGGCAAGGCGACACCGTAGGGGGTAGTTCTTTGACCCGTTTGGGTTTGATGAAGATCAGTCGTTTTTGGTGTGAGGATCACAGAAAAGGCAAACAAACAGTATCAGAAGCGCGGAAGCAAACCAAGAGGCAACATGTTTTCTATGTACTCTTGTTTTTTGCAGGAGTGGTATGTCCGTGCTCGGTTCGGCTGTCAGTCAGCCGTTCTAGATATCTCATAGCAATCATATCCATGCAGGGAGAGCTTGCATGAACAATTTATTGATAATTTGGAGACAACCTGCAGATGTGGTGGTAGTTTCAGTGGATTACACCTCTTCAGGGTGACTATGATCAGTATTTTGGCGTACAATGTCTCACCGGCGTACAGACATCCCGCCTGTCGTTGCTTCGATTTTGGGCAGGATGCAGCCATCCACGAGAACAAGCAAGTGGAGGAGTTCATTTCACGATGCAACAAGCACGAATGGGAGCGGCTCAAAAGCAGGACGGGCACGACCCGGCCTTTTTAACTCATGATTGATTCATAATGGACAGGATGTTGCAGCAGGAACCTCTCAAAGATTCAGGAAGGGATTGTGGACACTTTAGATCCACATGTGTTTCGTCACCATGTTCTTTTAGACCCCAAATACACAAAGATCCATTGGCTGTGGGTTTCCCGGTTGATGCGATGTTGTTTTATGGGACATGACTTTTCACTCAGCAAGCCAAGCCTACACCGGTTCTGAAGCCGAAGGTCGCCGAAGGATTTCGTCTCAGGTCATCAGCAAACCCGAGACGTACGGTGTGATGCGGTGTGGTGTGGTGTGATAACCTTGCTTCCGCATCGATGTTCCGATGCTGGATGCCCTAGCGGGGAGGCTCCTGGGATCCTCCAATGCCTCACAAGCATTGGAAAACACAGGAAAACCAGGAACAAAACATATGGAAAAAGACCCATTCATGTTTGTTATAAAGAAGCCATTCCCAAGGGATGATCAAAGGTCGGTAGTGCGTTCAAATCAAGGAGTTTGATCCCAGTTCTCCGGTTTCTCCGGTCCGGTACTCACATGGACTAACGACAGTTGGACCCTCGAGACAAGGTGGAGGGAAGCCGTTTTTGGGAGACGAGGGAAGCCGTTGGAGTTGCAGCAGGGTGTATTTTTTTGGGCACCTTTGGTGTTGGAGAACTCCAAGAGATGTGGCTTTTGCACATGATCACTGGGCGCCGCAGGATCAACACTGGCCACAACATGAAGCTGCCACTGGGGCATCTGGAGCCTCGCAGTGGTTCGAGGATAGACACCTTCAACTTCGGCTGGTACAATTACGCGCGGATGCTGGGTCGAAACTCAGTTTGGGGCTCAAACTCAAAGCCCCAAGCCATCATAGGTGACGCATACCCCACATCAAGTGAAGCAAAGGTTTGTTTGTTTCAGTTTCAGGTTACTATGCATAAATATATATATATCAGAGGTTTTGTGGTTTGGCGCACAATGCACAACCAATTCGCTGCTACCCATTTGTATAAAAAAGAGGGTGTTGCTCGCAAAAAGGAGGGCGGGCTCCAATTCTATCTATAAGTAGCACGGACTGGCTCATGTCGCACGAGGATAGCCTGGGAGAAGATCAAGGAGGACCTACGGAAGGAGTTCGGCATCACCACTCCGTCCCTGGGAAGCGAGTTCGGGTGGTTCCATAGCATCGGTGGGAAGCAATCCGAGGGCTACCAAGTTTGGATTCTGGTCGCAAGCCGTTGAAGTGCGTGGATAACTACACCCTGCCAATGGCAACTGTGTTTGAACTGAAAGAGCTCCTTGCTTCCACTCTGAGGCAGCATCTGTTTCAGCTCCCGAAAGCGAAGCTCCAAGAGCTACTCAAGTTACTCGAGTGTAAGTGGCCTGGTTGGACAGTTCGGGGACGCAGAGACGGTTGTGTATGGTGTGGCCAAGTGTTTCAATTATGGGAGCCCACGGAAATGTGTTTCACATAATGTGGTTGTTGCACTAACAACGGTAAGAATATGGTACACCCCCCAAAAAAGAAGTAAAAAGAACCTACCTTTTGGACAGTTTCACGGTTGAGGATGACAATCTATCAGCTAATTGAACGGGGAGTACCATATAATATATATACATACATGTATAAATGTACTTGTGTCAAGTCTTATTGCATTATAACTATTGAGATGCTAACTGCACGGCATTAGTTTCAGGAAAGTACGCGTACAAACGCATTTGTACGCGTGCAGTGGTCAAACCAAGAACCAAGATTGCACGGACCTATGAAAGTGAATCTTGGTTTGGGGCGTGTCCTTTGAGACCCGGGAGGCCATCCACACTGGCTGCATCAAACCAAGATTCCTGACAAGAGTTGAGTGCAATCTTGGTTCTTGGTTTCTTGGTTTGAGCAATGTACGCGTACAAATGCGTAAAAAGTTCCCCGAACATGAATGCGTCACAACTTTTTGGGGAAGCTTAGATCTTAGAACCTGAGAGGTCTTAAGACTTTCCTAAAGCCGAGTCTTTCCCAAGCCCGCTATTTCGCAGTCAACAATTGAAGTAATCTCACCAAGTCCTTTTTTAGATAGAAGCAATCTCAAAATGGCAGTCATAGAGAAAACAATTCAATATGTTAAGTAGATAGAGGTAATCTGAAAAATGTTAGCCAGTGAGAATTGAACTCAATGTGTGAATTTGATAGAAGTAATCTCAATATGCCAGTCAGTGCGTCAAAATGTGTGGATTAGATAGATCGAAATACTAATTAGTGAGATTGCAACTCTCTTCTTTTCTTCTCTCCTCCTCCCTTCTCTTCTCTGCTGTTCTCTGAGAAGAGAATGGGAGGGAAAGGGAAGGAAAGAGAAGAGAACAGGAAGAAATGCTAGTGAGATGTCATGCACACCAGTGAGCCTGTCAATTGTCAAGTTACTGTGTGGTTGCCACATTTGTAAAACACTCAGTTACTAAATGACTTGAAATAATCAATCAACTTTCACATTTCAATTTACAAGTGCATTAAATACAGCTAACTGTGTGACTTGCAGCAATTTTTTACAATATTGTAAGTTGTCATAAACACAATAGTGAGCCTGTCAATTGTAATGTTTATTTGTGAATGTCAACTAACCAATTCATATACAGTATATATATATATGTATATTTGAGTGTTTCAACTTCAATGTGAGAGTTGCATTCATCAAATCCCATCCTTACACCTGCATTAGATACAACTCAAGGTATGAGAAGGCTAACAATGTACATTATAAATTGTCTTCATCAAATCTCATATGCGCATGTGCTTGGTAAACACTTGACTCACTTGACAATATCAGTTGCCATGCGCACAAATAGGTCTGTGAATCTATGTGTTACCCTGTGAAGCATGCAGGTCAATGTTCTAGTTGTGCAAACCCAATGTTATAGTGTGAACTCAAAAGGCTTACAACTCACATCGCCAGTTATATTCATCAAATCTCATATTTGCCAACAATGCGAGTTGCAGAGTTTATTCTTGTTTGTTATCTCCACAACTGCTTTGTAAAATGATATTTGTTTGTGTGGTTGTCACACATGTGTATAACTTTAAATTTCTTGTTTGAGTTGTTTCAATGTAATGTCACACTGCAAAAGACAAGCTAACAACTCATAGAATCTCAGTGGTACTCATCAATTATCATTGCACTGGGTACAACTGACGGTATGAATTGGAGTGCTAATATAATGTTGTTCATTGGCATGTACACAGTTAATTCTGTAATGTACACCATGAGATACACGATTGATAGTTTTTGAACTTTACTTGATCAAATACGTCCATCAGTTTTTATTTGCAATTGCATTAGATACTTTCTGAATATGGTTACTGTACATTTGCGCACGTTGTTCTGCACATGTCATCACAATCACGTACAAAGACCACAATATGGTCAAAATTATGCTGTTCAATTTGTCCTCTGAAATCTCACCAAGTCATTGCAAATACCATTCAAATTGTCTAAAAGGTAGGTTTTAGGGGTGTGTAGCATATATATATATATACATGTGTGTATATTTTCAGGACAGTTTCTGGATTCTGGATGGATTGCAGAACTCCCTTCATCATGAAACGTCGGATGAATCACCGCGCACGGACGCTGCGGAAGCGCCCAGGCCGAAGCTTGACGATCAAGATAATGTATATCCACTGGGGGGTGTGATGTATTTAATACAGTTTCATTGATATGTTTTGGCTCATTTGGTGCATATCATCAGTTGCCCCAGATCGCAAAGAGGGAGGGCGGGCACCAATTCTAAGTGGTCCAAACTGACTCATCTCACGCGAGGAAAGCCTGGGAGGAGAACAAGGAGCACCTACGGAAGGAGTTCGGCATCACCACTCCGTCCCTGGGAAGCGGGGTTCCATTTCATCGGTGCGATCCGAGAGCTACCAAGCTTGGATTCTTAAGGGACGTCGCCAGCCGTTGAAGTGCGTGGATAACTACACCCTGCCAATGGCAGCTGTGTTTGAACTGAAGGAGTTCCTTGCTTCATGCACAATTTGTCGCACTCTGAGGCAGCAGCTGTTTCAGCAGCTCCCGAAAGCGAAGCTCCAAGAGCTACTTGAGTGTAAGTGGCCTGGTTGGACAGTTGGGGGACGCAGAGACGGTTGTGTTTGGTGTGGCCAAGTGTTTAAATTATGGGAGCCCACGGAAATGTGTTTCACATAATGTGGTTGTTGCACTAACAACGGTAAGAATATAAGCGTCGGATGAACCACCGCGCACGGACGCTGCGGAACTGCCCAGGCCGAAGCTGGACGATCGAGATGTGAAGCGCCAGGGATGGAATGACCTGGGATGAAAGAAAGCCGAGGGACACGTGGGATGTGTATCGATTGGAATTACGGTGGGCACTGAGTCACCAATGACCAAGTAGTATAGAACAAGGACGTCTAGTGACTAAAGTGACTAAGGGCTGGCGTCTCATGGATACGAACAGCCATAATGAAGGAAAAGGACAGGACTAAGTGACTGAATGACTTGCAATGATGTGCCTTTTTTATGCAGCTTGATAACTGTCAATCTCGATCATTGTTGTTTTTGCTTTTCTGGATGATGGACAACAAGGCTGGACCCCCGAAGCATATTGGTGACTCACATTCAAGCCTTTACTGGTACCCAATCCATTCACATCCCACATCCGAACTGCTTCAGCCTTTTTTCGTTGCACGGGTGGAACTGGGCCTCCATCCCGCTCCTGGGCCTCCATCCGCGGCGACTCGGTCGGCACCAGGCGTTTGTTGGAACTGCAAGAAGAGTATCACAAGTCGTGGGTTCTGAAGCGCCAACCTGGCATGACCTACAAATACCTGGAGGACCCGATTCCGATGGGAAGGTGTAGCAGGGTGTAGCAGGAAGGTGCCGGGATTCACCTATTTGTGAGGGAAAACGTTGCTGGGCAGATTGAGGAACTCTGAACCAGCCACGATCCACTATCCAATGCCGACTCTCGTCTACATGTACATCCCAGATTCTTGTATTTTGGGGTTTGCCTCTCCTTTTTTGAGACCCATTTATCTACCAGGTCAGGACAACATGTTGGTTGGCTCTCGTGTACGTAGATCGCTCCTCATAGCTTGCAGGATCCTGTCGTTGTATCCAGACCTCCCAAGGGATGTGGGGCAACACCAGAGGAGTGTGGTCCGAATCGGACGGTGCCCCAGGGCGCGGCGAGAGATTTGCACCGACACGCCGACAGGAGATTGCGCAGGAGATCGCTGAAGCGATGATCGACCGCTGGGATTTGATTGCACAGGTGGGGTATGAAGCTGCCTTAAGACTGGGAGGGACCTCCAGTCAACACGTTGAAAAGCTTTGCACAAAAGGCAAAGGCGGCAAAGAATTGGGACGTGCAGTTTGGTCGAGGCAAGTCATTTCTCGTAGGAGCAGCAAGCGTTTAACCTCTGAATCAAGAACAGTTTGGGCCTGCGATCTCACCGTCTTGGAGATCACGGTAAGGATACCATAGCAGGTCCATCATTCTCGACTCGCTCCGTGTCTTTCGGTCCAAGCTTCGACCAAAATCATATAGTTTGTTTCCCCGTTTGTAGCACATGAGAACCCTCAAAAGGATGGGAACCCTGGATGTCCAAGAATCAGCAGGTTGACTTGGTGAATGATCTTCCTCTTCACTTTGTGTTGACTTGGTCCCCGTGTCGGCGTGCAGTACCCCTTGTTGGACATGCCTGCAGACTTCATATTCCCTGACAAAGCGTGTCCTGGTAGTCCAAACAGGAGGAACATTCCTTGGGATCCAAGGTGAAAGGAGTCTTGGACAACGATTTCAAGCTCCCTGCTGCCTTGGAACAGCGTCTGGGACCTCCAGTTGATGAAGCCACCACGGGGCTCACAGCCTGTTTCAAGTGATCAGTCGCAAAAAGATCGTGTATCAGTGGGACAGGCACCAAAGCACCAAAGTGGACAGGAGGACGTGCCAAGGAACAAGGATGTCAGTGTGAATCTCTTCTCTACTATGTATATACAATATTATACAATACTAGGAGCAAGAAGCTACTAGGAGCAAGAACGCTACTAGGGGCTCCTGACCTTACTACTAGGAGCAAGAACGCTACTAGAAAAGGAATCAAAAAGACAAAATGCTAGAGACGGACATGACCTCATCAGCATCGTGTACACCGCCCGTATCGTATCGCGGCAATCCAAAACGTCGACCGAGGTTTTGGCCACGCATTCGCAGAAAAGACCAACCGGGCATGAAGAACCTGAAGAAGGAGGTGTGGCCAGGATCATGCAAGAAAAACATGTTAGAATGAAGTCCTTGGTTCAGTCCCTTTTTTGCCAAGATGAATCCTCCTATTGTGTACAGTAAATGGTTGTAACCACCCGGTGCGACAGCCCTTTAATCTCCTCTAATAGTGCTTTGCCTTTGTTACTGCAGTAGTTAAATGGTTAAGAGCGCCCGCACCCATCAACACAGGTCTTGAAAACCATAAAACTTGTAAGTATATTGAAACAGTCAACAATGCAAGAATCAACTGGGGAAAAAAAAGACAGTGGCAAATTTGAGTACAGTATCTACCTTTGGCCAACCCCTGACCCGAAATCGCAGGGCTACTTACCTCGCGTCCATGAAAAGATGTAAAGTTTCCTTTGTTACCCGGTGCTATGTTAGTCAGTTGGGGGAGGAAAAACCTAGCATTGACTGCATTCAGTGCCACACAGTGCTTCTCTCCCGCCGGTGTCTCCGGGTCTTTGTGGGCATTGCACCGCGAGAATGGTGACATCGAGAAGTACGAGCAGATCAGGCAATTCTTTTACTACCACGAGACGAATGGCAACAGCATGACACATTGCAGCTTGAGAGGAAGCACTGATACCTTCACCGATACAGGCAAATGGTTCTTTCCAGACCCTTGGATGTCAATGTTGGGTGATGTAAAAAAGTTGGTAATTTTAGAGATGTCAATGACGTTTGCTTGCATGCCGTAGAAACAAGAACATGTGCCGTCATGTGCCAGCTTGTTCCACCATTCTACAGACCTGGAGTTGCCAAACACTGCTAACTAGGATTAATGACTGCGAAGAGCCGCCCCCTTCTTTCCACAGGCCATGTGTGGATGAAATTAGCCACGCGATTCAGGATTGTGCTCGTTGCACAAGTGTAAGACATTTGCTGGTATTTAGCTCAAGTCTCATAAATGTTCCCGATGTTCCCCTTTCTTTCCTTTCTTCCTACCGCTGTCTCGAAAGGGGGCTCGCGTGTTGGTTTCGCTCTTTCTGTGATGCTCAACGTGTGAGGACTCCGTTGGCATTCAAGAGGAGCTCTTTCGAAACATTGCGTGGCTCTTTGACAAAGAGATGCTCGGTGACTCCTCCACAGGCACTAGAGACTCACCGGTGGGACGAGCGGTGAGACGTCTTCTGCATGCCTCACAACGAGGCATGCAGAGAGGTTAGTGAAGGGTTCCTGCTGCATCCCCCGAAGATGGGCTGCAAGCGGTTGTTAATTGTGATAGTGATAGTGTAGTACTGTATAGTACTGTAGTAGTTGTCGTCGCAAATTTATTTGTGGAATTACTGTAGGCAGAAACAAGGCCTTTAATACGATCGAGTTCTTTCGTTGTTATCCCTTCAAAACTTGATTCTTTTCCCTTCAGACACAAAAATCGTTCTCCCAGCCAAATCTGGCACAGTGGACCCACTTCCATACAGAGGAAATCTTAACAAACCCAGAACCCTGCTTGGAAGGCCTACCACTTGGTACCTTTCCGGACCACAGTCAAATTGATGGTTATATTTCATGTTGAGCTAAAGATCAATCAGACTCGTGTAGGAAAGTTACTTTCCTGATTGATTCCTGCAGGGGGGACTGTAAACGTTACACGTTTACAGCAGATCTTGCAAACGCACCAAGATGCTCAGACTCACTAGAGGAAAAAACATATCCAGCCTGCTGACTGCCAGATGTTTTTTGATTGAGTCCAGGCAAGATCGGACAAGGGTCGGTAGCCCACAAAAAACATCGCCACCCGGGTCTTTTGTGGGTACGGAGTGGCTATGGGTAGCCCACGATTTCGTGAACGGCTGGAAGAAAGCTACTGGGAGGCGGTTACTTTCGATCTATGCCCCCTCAAAACTGCCAAGAGTTCTGAATATTTTGTAATGTTTTGTGCATATACTGAGGTTGCCACATTGGCGACCAAGTTGTAGCGCAGCTAAAGCTTCGGGTCAGGTATCGGCTCGGCGTCGACACTCCCTTTCTTAAAACACCAAGGATCTACCATTACATCTCCGAGCGGCAAACGCCTCGATTTCCCTTTATTGAGGACTTCGACATCCAGGCCCAAGCTACTTCCCCGTCGAAGCGAGCAACCATCGTTTCACCCAACCATGATTCTCTTGGGCTTTGCAATGCAGACTTCAAAGCTCCTCAACAAAAGGTTGGGTTGGCTCGCCAGCCAGCCTTGGTCCCTTTTGGATTTTGAAGCACGAAAACAGACAGAAAGAGAAGACACCCGAAAACAGACAGAGCTGGTACGCTCTACTACTGTAGAGAGTTCATGAACATTCATGAACCGTTGAATCATACAGACATAGTAGCTCCTGGCATCGCTACGAACGGAGCAAGGATGCTACTAGGAGCAAAGGGCACTAAAGTAGTTTATGTTCTTTCCACAAAATCAGCCTCAGGCTCTCTACCGCTCTCCACCCACTTCTAGGCTTCAAGGAGGTGAGGATCCACCTCAACGTGAACCCCTACCGGCTAGGGCACAAAGCACAGCGGTTTTGCGGGGGTGTTCCGAGAACTTATGATATCAGTATATATCAGTATGTGCTGAAATGCTTTCAGAGTTATTGATATATAGTTCAAACACTTCGATGCTTTTTGCATAGTGTTTTTATGCTTTATCCCCAAGATTAGGTTTTGTGATCCCAATTGGCTGATCATATGCTAATGTATCAATATGCCTATGCGTGGAGCGATGTTATAGTAAAGTGTACTAGTCTTGTATAGAGTCCCCATGACCCATGAGTCCCCCAAACCCATCCATTGAAGGTCTCACTGTTGAGGGCCATTGCCAGGCTGATGTCGATTACACACAAGCGCCTCCAGGCTGGACGTGTCGAGTACCAACTGGTGAGGGCCAGAGTATGAAAAGCATCTCTTCACTAGCCTTGCCAGAAGAGGATGAATAGATGGATGGATTGAGAAGATAAACAGGGATGCCGCAAGATTCTAAGGGGTTGTAGGAAACCCAAGGGGTGGCAAGCCCCCAACCCCCTTTGGAAGGTTCAGGAGAGCAGACAACCAAGTCAGGGCTTGTTTGCCGCGATATCACCTTGGGTCACCTGGAGGCACTGAGGGCGTACATGCCAAACTTTATGAAAGTCTCGAAATGATTCGAAATGTCTCGAATATCAGGAAGTCCAGGCAATGACATCCCGGTTTGTGATACAGATATTTGCCTTGAAGGGAACATGAAGCGCGGCGAGAGATCAGCTTCTTCATTGACAGTCTTGAAATTGCCCAGTCAGCCGCATAAAGTCGGCCAAGTCACCCAGTCGGCCGCATGTGCGTCTCCCTTCGATTCCGACCTGGCCCTTAAAGGGAAGGCGCCATCTTCACGCCGCGCATCGGGGCTGGCGCCTCACAGGCAAAGATCGGCCGGATCCGCCTGACCATCTCATCATGGAGAAGCCCAGGAGGGATGGACACTGGGAGGCAAAGAAAGTACCAGGAGGGATGGACACTGTGATGGCCCAAGAGGGACTTGTGATGTTTGATGGCTTGATATGGCTTGTGTGTTCCTGCTTTGATGTATTTGCCTTGTTCTTCTCCGTCCTCGCCTTTAACATCTTTAACTTGCTGTGTACGGTTCTTTGTTCATTACTTTTCCATGCGTTTCCTATCTTTTGCTCACACCCGGTTTTAAGAAAAACTGTGCGGATTCCAACTTTCGGACGAAATCGTGAATCGCTCGACCCGAGGTTTGACTCTAAATAGATTGCAAATATATAGAAGCTGCTACGGGCGTCCTGGCATCGCCACTAGGAGCAAGAACGCTACTAGAATCTATTTACTGTAGGGGGACTTCCTGGGGGCGCACATTTGACCTCGTTTATCCTCGTTTGCATTCTACCTGCAATCATCGTTTGCATTCCGGATGAACAATGATCTCAAGACTACCCTAAAATCCTACAACCCAAGAAACATCAAGAAACCTTGGCCATGAATCACTACGTGAGAGCACTTTGAATGAGGGTCTTCCCTCCGCACACCTGTCGCGCAGCCCTGAAAAAGACACCAAGGAAATGGATGCGTCGACGGAGACCCAGGAGAGCTCATGAAGAAGAGGGCCGCGTGCATCCATAAACTCTATTCGCAGTTTGATGCTTGACAGAAACACACACACCGGCACCATTCATGGTGTGGAGACAGACTCACTGCAAAACGTGGCCCAGTAGTGATCCCCTTCAAACAGATATTGGGAAACTGAACATGTGCACAACATATGCATTTGGATTGTTTGAGACCCATATTATGGAGCTTCCTGATTGTACCCGTCGTCGGCTGCTCCTTTCTTCGCTTGCAGCGAGGAAGAACTCACTTGCCTGGTGTACTCCGCTTCCGGCTACAACAAGGGCAAAGAAAAGACACTTGATCGCTGAAGATGTTCACATGTGATCCACTGTCCTGAACAGATCTGTTGATTTTCAGTTTCAAAACCAACTCTCAGAGGATGATTCTTGGGTCTCCTGGTCTCCGGGGGGGTGCATAATTCTTGTGTTTGTCAGCAATGATGCATGTTCCACCATGTTCCACCCACATTGTGGGTAATGTTCACACACACACTCACCTGACCTTCCTTCAGTGTTCCCATTCCGAGTCTACCTTAATGAGTCTTCGGTCCTGGGACACGAGGGAACACGTGACGACTCGTTGCTTGGCCTCCACAGCATGGGGACGATCGTTGCATCGCCGCAGAATCTACCTGGAATATCTTGGAATCTTTCAAAAACGCCCAGGTTGAAGACCTCCTTCCACTTGGTTTGGCCACAGTTGGTGGTGGATTCGGATAGTGCGCCCTGGATCCGTGAGATCACTTTGATGATCTTCAGCTCCTCGGGGGTCAAGAACTGGTCGGTGTGGGCGGAACACCAAACTGGTGAAGATGGGAACATCGGAAGATGTGTGCATTTCATTGCAGTTGTTTCTTCAATTTGACACCTGTTGAAATCCTGTGAACAGCAACCCATGACTGTCCTGGTCACCATTTTTTGGGGGGGGTGCGTGCTGGTATGGAAGAGACTCATCATAGGCTCGATGGGTGGACCAAGCGAGTCGTCACCAGGTGTTTCGTGCCGTCGCTGGACACTCTGTCTCGTCCCCAAGACTAACACTGTGGGCAACTGGTGTAGGGCCTGGGGTCATGAACTGGGCGGAAAAGAAGCCCTTGTAGAACATATAATTCATATAATTCTGATTATATAAGCAATGACCATTGTTTGACCAAGTATGGACACCCTTGACCATTCCAGCTATTTGAATCTTCGTGTTTTTCCCGGTGTAACAGAGGGTCTTCATGTAATTATTTATTAGGGGCTGTGACGAGTTCAGGTGCGCTGCCCCACGTATTGAGCTGTGACGAGTTCTTATTGGTAGGGGCTGAGAAACATCTCCGATGTTTGTGTTGGGATGAAGCAACGATATGTCTTAAAGAACCGAGCTGAATTGTAAATATGTCATGCTAGCAATGGCCTACTAGAGGACAAGACATTCCCACTCTGCTTAGAATTGTGGAAGCCTTGCCGTTGGCCACTGAGATCAAGAATCGAAGATCAAGGGTTCATATTTGCAGAGGCTGAGAGAACATTTGTTGGGGCTTGAAAAAGGAGGGAAGGAAGACAAAAGCAACGAGTGGGAGATGGTCTTTGACAAGACCACCATCAATGCTACAAATGGGCTGCGTTTGCCTTACAATGATAAAGCCTCCTTGAAGCCTTTGCCAGAAGAGAAGGCAAGGGCTGACGTGGCGTGTGTTCTTTAAAGCATCAGCCCCAAGGCTTAAGGTTTCTCTTCCGGACACTGGATGAAAGACCCTGACAAAACTTGAAACTTGACCCAAGCTGAAGGATTTAAAGCAGGTAGGTAGCTCCAACAAGAGGGTACGGTATGGGCATTTTTGCACAGTGAGCAGAGCCCTTCAGCATTTGCGCTCCAATGCTGGATCCATACCCCTTTCGCCTTTCGAATCCTTTCGAGCAGGGGCCCTGTGAACAGGGGCTATCTATCAGCACTGAATTAAGCTTCTCATAGGTTGCCAAGGCAACTAAAGTGGATGAGGTTGTTGCTTATTTGAGGTACTCATTGGTTTTACGTGAACCTCGAACCAGACATGAGCCACAGGACCCCACTCAGGAAATTCGCAGGCTGCACATGCTTCACATACATCACGTGCGTTGTTTTGGTGCAAATGACTTCGCGGTGCAGATGTGTTGCCCACACCTGAGCCGTACATGCACTGTCATGGCAGAGGCCCGCATCGAACGGGGGGAAGTCAGCAAGTCCGCGGCCAAGAAGCATCGAGTCTTGGAGGGAAGGCCAAGCAAAGCCATCGGCTCCTTGGATGAACCGTGATGAAACGTGAGGATGGAGAAAGAGACAAAGTGGTTTTGGAGCTGGGAAGAGCTTCAGAATATTGAGAGTTCCGATTTCAGCAGTTCAGAGGAAGAGACTTGTTGGCTTGGATGACGGCAATGTGGGTTTGACAAATCAATGAGGGAACTACCAGATCCCCTGATAATTACTGTAGAAATGGGTAGAAATGGGGCCAGCAGCTATAGTTCACTTCTTGTGATCACAACCAGATGGGTCATGTGTGTGCATTGAAGGTGTTGCTTCACACTCTGTCAGTTTTTTGACTACATCCGAACTTGTCACAGAGCAAAGTGAGAGCCTCAGGCAAGATTCGCTTCACCTTTGGCAGAGACGAACGGGCAAACACTGACACAGTGGAGGCCAAATGGGTAGCAGATGAGAAGAGCTGTGAGAAGTGGGAATGGATCCGGACACTTGGCAGGACGTTGTTTGTTCATGGATGTACTCCCAAGATAGTCGCTAGTGTACCGCTCAGTTCTTTAGGAAAAGGAACTGAGCGAAGAATGTGGACCGTTCCTTTTCTCGCTCCTGCAGGCCACACTGACCAATTAGGGCCGGCTTGGCTGGGGCAGAATGTTGGGCCGGTGCGCCATGTTGGGTGAAGTACTCACTGGACACGAGTCCAAAAGACTCATGTGATTTGAGTAGTTTTTTGTTGCTAGTAATAAGTGCATCGCCACTAGTAACAAGTGCATTACTACTAGTAGTAGCAAATGGCTTCTTGTTACTACTAGCTTCTTGTTACTACTAGTAAGGCACTTGTTACTACTAGCGTGGCACTTGTTACTACTAGCTTCTTGCTACTAGTAGTATTGCCCTTGTTACTAGTGACGATGCACTTGTTGCTGTGAAGGACTGGACACGAGTCCAAAACACTCCACCTTCGGTGCGGGAGTCCGTCGGCGAGCAATGTTCAACTTGGACACCTGCTTGAGACCAGACCTGTCATGTGAAACGCTCGTTTGTTGATGAAAAGACCAAGACACCTGCAACTTGATTGGCTGATGTCTCATGGCTCATGACCCTTTGAGAATGGCCATGAATTGTGGCTGAGGCGGACGCTCTAGCATGGTCGACTAATCCAACCAGCTCGTTCTTATCTCGATCTCTTCATTCCAAGGATACGGCAGGTTGATCCACCCTGCCAGCTGTGGATAGCAATCCCCTGGTTGACCTACGGATCGGTGATGCTCTAAAATGTCTTAGGCTAAAACCTAAATGGCAAGGGAATTGCTTGACCTCCCTTGTGGTTTTGTCATGTTCTGTCCAGAGGGTGTGATGATAGACACCATGCGGCACGGTCTGTGCCCAGGGATGGCTCCTGCCGGATTGATGCAAACGATGCGGACAAGTCGGCACTCACCCCCATGCCGCTTGGGCTAAAGCGAGGGTGGCATTGAAGATGAGATGAGAGGATAGGAAAGGATGTGGATTGTTGGTTTACACCTGTGGGGTGTGGTTTTGCATGGCTTTGTTGTTTTGAATCTTTGATTGCAACGGTGCACTTGAAGGAGCTGCAATAATTATGGACCAATGGAAGACTTGCCGTGAGAAGGGTTGATAAGAGAGCGCTCGAAGAGTTCAGTGAAGAGATGATTTTGTTGCTTTGAAGGGAGCACTTGTGGCACCCCAGCAATGGTCCTACATGGTTATACAAGGGTGTCACGTGCATGTTCAATCATTTTCAGGCCTGCTAGGTCCACAAAAGATTACGGCGCTTGGGTCGGCGGCTAGGGGCGGACCCACACTAGAGGCCTTCGGCTTTGGCCTTTGGCAACAAACAGGGCCTGCTGACCCGATTTAGGGGGCTAGCGCCCGGGGCTTACTAGCAGGATTGGGCCATTGGCCAATGATGACTTGGAATCAGAGACAAAGAGAATTAGAGAGGAATTGATCACTGGGAATGTGTGATGTATTTGGAACTACTGGAGAAAAGACACATGATGAATCAAGTTCAGTTCTAAGCAGAGAACTGGAGTGTGGGACCTTGGTCAAGACACTTGGGATCCAAGGGCTCTTTGGACTCTTCAGGACATTGACCTCCAAGGGGCATGGAAGACATCCCAGGGGGTTCAAACATTTGGCACCTAGTGCTTCCACCTCCAAATCAGTGAGATTGAAAGGCTTTTCACAATCCACGTCATTCCTTCGGGGTTCTCCAAATCGGGCTGAGAATCGGACTGCACCCATCCTTCCTTTCATGTTCGCGGTCCCTCACGAGGCATCCGACGCAAGACGCCATCGACCTCTTCCGACGGTGGAAGAAAGAGCGCAAGCCAGGCCAAACCGTCGCTGTTCGCGTCAAGCAACAACTGCACCGTCGCTGTTCGCTCGTTGCAGTTGTTGGTCGTAAGGACCCCATGGTTTGTCGTCATGTTATTCATGTTGCAGTTCTGTAGATGGGCTGAATCCCATGCTGTTTGGTGTTTCTAAGGTGCTTGGTTTGTGCAGGATTGCCAACAGTAACTGGAGAGTGCTCACGTTTGAGACTTATTTCATTTTTGCAGGGCAAGAACCTGCCATTTTTCCTGCCGGGTTTGGTGGAAGTTCAAGAACTGGGTTCCTCGGTGGGATACTCATGTTTGTCCTTGGCGCCCACCAACCAGCTTCGCCAACTTGGCCGAGTTTTACACTTGACTTGGTTTGGATGTACTGTTAAGTTATGTAAATTGAAGAAGGTGGCTTGCTCCCTTGCTAACATCATTGTTGATTGAATTGTTTGTTGGCGGAAATGCATTCATTTGAAACGTGTCAGACTTGGGGCTTTCATGGTCTTGCCTCTTTGTGGAGCATGTAGCGTCCCAGCGGGTGTGTTATCTATGCCGGTAAGATCTATTGAAGGTCTTTTGGTCGAAAATGGTCAAGTGTTCATGAATCTTTGCAGCCACATCCGGCCAATTGACGCCCTTGAGGGTAGTCAGAAACCGCAAACATTTAGTTGTCCTGTTGTGGAACCTCAAGGCAACTCATGAGTTTTTCAAAGTTTGGATCCTCAGCCTGCTTGGAGATTTCAAGGTGACTTTGAGCACTTGAAGTGTTCAAGGTTTGCGAATAATGCGAAAGAACCCCCGTCGATCTTGTTCCTGGTTGACCTTTGGCGCTTGCAAACGACGTGTTTTCTTCTTTTTTTGTGTTCTTGAGAACCTCATAACACCTCGGTGTCATATTGTTTTTGCGTCCCAGGTGTCCGTTACTTCTGGGATGGCAGCTTGGATGTTGGGCGATGTCTGACAGGAGTTGATGATAGTTGATGTGGGTAACGCACATGACATGTGGGACATGTGATCCAAGACGCCTTCTAAAAACGCTACAGACTGACTCAACGTGTCCCCCAGGACAACGACGGGGACATGTGTTTGTTTTTTCTCCACACAAAGACGGCGACACCGTCGGAGAACTTGTCAGAAGTACGTGATGTCCAGATCCCAGGCCCCAAAGATGGGTGGCTAGCTGAATGGAATGGGTTGCAATCAAAGCGCGAATTCATTGTCATCCACCAGAAGGTTGGCCTCAAAAAATGGAACCTGATTTAAATGTTGGTCGCTGGTGAACATACAACTCACAAGAGCTTAAAGTCTAAAGACCCCAAATCCTGGTCCCATGTGCCTCCTCGACGGAATTGAATTCTACATAATTCTACAGATTTGTTTGGAGGATGCAGGCGTGAGAGTAGAGCGGCTCAATCCACTACAGGAACAATGCGTTGAACCATTTTGAGGAATCGACTGGCCGAAGGACCCAATGGACATGCCCCACACCCCAACAACTGAAACTGCCAGCGGAAAGCACGGACTGCTCGGCAGTCGCCGTGGCCCACCTTTCGGGGCATCACCTTGTGCATGTCGGTGTGGCACCATCCATGGATGCAACTGGACCGTTTGATACCGTTTGCAGAAGGACCGCTCCATGGAGTAGATCGTCCCTTTTTTCCCACAAGCCACTCAAACCAGGACGTCGAGATTCCCATGGCATCCAGTGCTGGGATGCTGAGGTGAGGATTCCGAGTTTGCCACGCACTCACCATTCCCGAACATCAAGCTATGTGAGCGTTCAGTGCTCGAATTCAAGGACGGGGAGAGTTCGGCATGGTTTGGCATTTTTGTGTGTTCAGACAGTTGTTTGCCCCATGTTTTTGGGACCCACGGCGAGGTGGCTGGGGAAAGAGTTTGTTGTTTGGTCCAGCAGTGATTGAGATGAAGGCTCACCGGGCTTGCTTTGGCGCAGGTTAGTGCTCAATCTCTGACTCTGTAGTGTGGAAATGGCACTTCATAGCAGACACAATGTAGAGTCAGTGAAAATCAGTGAAAGGCCTTCAGGTGCGCCCTGATTGGGAAGACCTGTACTGCGCCCACTAGGTTCAGAGGTTCAGATCACACAGGACTTTATGGCCAGTTGTGGAACGTCGCACCTTATGCATATGAGTCACATTGAGTCACTATATAGTCAATATGCTTCATCGGCCACCAGAGGGGTTCCTCCGTGGTGTGGGACGGAGCGGTTCCGGTCCCACAGTCCGAACAGGAAGCGACGGCAGGAGGGGTGTTCTCTTTGGGAACTCATTTGTGGGGCACAAGGGTGTTTTCTACAGTCAGTGGGTTCAAGTAAGTAGACACAAATCACTTAAGAGTGTAAGAATGTGTTGAGTTCAAGACCGGATGGATTGGCGGAAATGTGGCTACGGTAAACGCCACAAACATCCCGTTGTTTTTTGGGAAGCCAAGATTTCTCCAGTCAATCTAGTCATCCTGGAGTTAAACAGACTATAAATGAATACGGATAATCATATCCAACAGCCATAACAAGTTGCTACTTGGGCATATGATGTTTCATGAGGGATTTGTTCCATATTCATCCATATATACTAGTATCCATATTCTATCCTTTCCAGAATCCTGTGTCTCTAGGAACTTTGGGACACCAACTTGGAGGGCGAGCTGGAAGCCCTTTACGACAGCCAGCCAGAGTTGGTGCAGAGACTTGAAGGCGGCTGCATCTCAACGGGTAAATGGTGATGGGGTTGATCTACAGATTCCCAAGAGCGGCTGTCAAAGCCTTGCGAACAAAGTATGTCTTGTAGCTGGTGGGTGTCTCTGACCTGAGCACACCAGTATCGACCCAAAAAAACCGTATCGACCAGTGTACTCATGGGATATCGTGACAAACGTCATCCAAGCGCCGTCAAAGGGGACGATGATAGTCTGAGGACACAGCAAGACTCGGCTGTGGAGACCCAGAGGGCAGAGGTACGGTACGGTCAGGTGCATCGGTCGGCATGAAGCCTCGTTGAGCAAACAGGACACAAAAGGACGCCACGATGCAGGCAAGCATGAAACGCAAAGCGAGACAACAGGAGTAATTGTCCTGGAGACAAATGGAGCGGCAAAGGCCCAATCATTTTGAGACACAAAGTGTCTTTACTTGCAAGAATGGAGAGCCCAACAGCCAAAGTGTTTGGAGAGCAAGGACCACTCATACACGTGAGGGTTGGAGAGTGCATGCAAGGTGCCTTTGAAGATGCCAACTATAATGTGTTGATGTTTTGAATGGAGTGCATCAGACTTGGAAGGCCATTTCAACACCTCCTAAGCCCTGGACTTGCCGAAATACACCCAACCAAAGCAAATTAGCATTAGCAGGAATAAGTTGACATGACTCCTCCTCAACCTTTAAGTGGCTAGCTAAATTGAATTAGCTGGGAGGCTACTGTAGAGGGGTTGCTGTTCATTGAGACATATATAGGGACCCGACATCGGGCAAGATTCCGATCGGGCAACGACCAGAGTGAGCTCATCACATAATATTTGGCAAGCTATTTGGCAGGCACTTGGCTGGTAGTGAGCGAGCTGCTTGGCAGTCTGGGTTGCACAATCGACAATGACAGATGTTCATGGATGTTCCTAGTAGCGTCCTTGCTCCTAGTAGTACGGGCAGGAGCCCCTAGTAGCGTCCCATGGATGTTCAACACATTTGGAAGCTCATGGCGGTCAACTGTGTCAACTGTTTGTTTTGGACTCGTTCGCGACTTTCCACGAGGGCATCTTCTGGCCTTCACCAAAGTCCTCAGTTATGTAGTGTGTAGCGTTTTAGGTGTTTTCTTGGGGTTTAGTTAGTTTAGTCAGTTTCGGTTGCTCTCACGGTTCTTCTCTGTGAGGATGATGCCAGTTTCTTTGTCGAGGAGTTTGTCAAATCTTAACAACCGCCATTTGTTCGGTGATAGATCAGGTCTGGGCTTCGTTTGAAGCGAGCGAGTCAACACACGACAGGTCGATATATATATCCAATCCCCCGTTTCTCCGCTCCCCGCGCGCGCATGAGTGCCCCGCACGCTATCAGGGTGATTGCACATGTGAGCAACAGCTAAACTCTCCATCAAACAGAGTGGTATTGGAGCACAGATTGACTGAAAACATGCACTTCAACCATCTTCGACCCGTAAAACGATATATGAACTCCCAAAAGCGATGACCTTGGAATGAGATGGAATGAGATGGAATGAGCACATGTGATGGGATGTGATAGCAAGTACTGCGTTTGGACCGGCACCTGCGCTTCCTGACAGCATAGTTGTGCATGGAATTGTGGAACCGAAAGTATATAGCATGCCAACATTGAGACGTTTCCCATGCGAACCTTGCGCCCCAACCATTCCTCAAGCTTTCCGTATATTATGTTTGTAACGTATATATATATATAGCATATTCTCGTAATCTTCCCGGCCTTCTTCATGTCATTTCCCGCAATATTTTCCCAAGATGTAACTAGGCTTTTAAATGCTTTTAACAACACAACTAAATGATAACTGAACGATAAGCATGTTGAACAGAAATGTGCTCTTGTAATGGATGGCGCAGATGTGAAGAGATTTGTGAGAGAAATCTTTGCGGATGAGAAGATCAAATTGCGTGTAGGTGCTCACACCTCGACTCAAGAAGCTGAGGTAGAGATTTAGAAGTGTGGCTGCACTCATTTGGCAGGTGTTTGACATTGATGCTTTCAGGGTTTGTTCAACACATTGTATATCATTAAATATGATCGAGTAAACAGTAAACTCCCTAAAACGATATCTTCCCAATCCATTCCGGCACGTGTTTTTCTTTTCAAGATGGATGACTTGTAGGCAGAAAATGCGTGGCCACATTTCATCTTTGGCATATTTTAGTGCGGTAATACCGGCAAAAACGGTTTTGCGGCTTGACAAGTGCTTGGACAGAGCTGTTTGTAGTGGCAATAAGACAAACAAGCCAGCCGGTGCTCAGGACCTGCGGAATTTGGAGGACAAAAGCTGAAGTTCAAATCAAGGACAAGGATCCAAGCAAGCTTTGGGGCCAAAACACCCGGAAGCTCCAGCGGCCGTACGAGCCTTGCCTCACAACCAGGGCGTTGAGATGTGAGAGGGCGTATATCCTTACATCCGTTGACAGTTCAGGTACACCACTTGGGAACCGTGCAGATCCGCTTTGGTGAACGATTCTCAACCAACAGTGCTTGGGACCCCCAAAAGAATCTACTAAGAGCCTCGTATAGATCCAACGGCTTTCTCACCCACCCGCCCCATAGTGCACATCCTCTTTCTCACGTTTCCACGGTCGCTCAACCGGTCGCTCAATCGTGACACATCGGGGGCCCCGAAGCGACCGGCCGCCAAGGAACTCATTTACACCAAGCGATCTGCGGAGGACCGGTCGAGGGAGGTCGAGGGGCCGTGTGGAGGACATTCCGATCGGGACAATCCTCGGTATGTACTGAGATGGAATTGGATGTGGACGGAAGGAGCAGCGCCGTAAACATGTCCACTCCTTTCGGATTTGAAATTCTGCCATAGTCTACCAAGTCTGCGAAGCAGAAGGGTTTTGAATAATTGTTTGAATTAACCAAGCTGCATCTGATTTGTCTGCCAATCTTTAGGAGAAAGGCAAAGTCATCATCGATGGTCCTCAAGAGCTTATGCAGATTCTGCTGGGTGTGGCGGACATGTGCGAGTGTGATATCGACGATCGGAACATCATGCCCTTGTATGATGTCCGCGGTTCCTTGGTCTGGTTTATCCATGAAGACATCTTGGAATGACGTGACAAAACACTTGTTTGACATGAAGGTAATTAGACATGACCTTTCTTTCCGTGAACATGTCGTCCAGGTTTTATGATTTCCGTGAAGACTATGACTTTATATTACAGATTCACCTGAGGTATGTGCAAGTATTGATCCGCTGAGAAAGGAATAGCCGCTTGTATATAGAGAATCAGCTTGGCCCTGACTGTCGGCTCCGGAGTGAATGGTTTACGCGTCGGGCCCTCACTGTTGTCTTGGTGTGTGTGTGTGTGTCCCTGAAACTGATATACTGATTTGATATACTGATTTGATATACTGAGTTGATCTGAGTTGAGTTTCTCAGCCGGTGATGCCATTGAAGGAGAATCTCCGAACTCCAAACAAAACCTTGAGCCCCATATCATATCACAGAGGACGAACCAATGTTGTTTTTTTTTGTCCTGGTGTTGGATGACTTGCGTGGATCAATCATTGACCATCACTTCACTTTAATTGGCTGATGCATCCTACCCCTCCTACATAAAGAGCGTGTCAGTCACACTCCTACAAGCATGAATGGACTGGACTAGGGTGGTTCGCCTGCCGGCACCTATCCACTTTCGCCATGTTGCCACCTATACCGGCTATACCGCCTATACCTATAACTCGTGCATATCTCCCGAATGGCAGAGTTTGGGGTCTGTGAGAACCACGCACGAAAGGATCACGAAACCATGAGAACCAATGAACCAGAATTGGTGCGGAAAGGAAGCGAGGTTCTATGTGGTTCTTAAGGCTCATGTTCTACCAGATTCTACCATTCTACAGTGACTATAGTTCCCTATCATAGGGAGGAAAGTGAAGTGCAAAGCCGTTAAAAAGTGGCTTGAACTGTTTTTCTCCACATACATATTGGATGTCCTTCATTGTTTGAAAGAGTACCGACAGCCACGTGTCAATCGCACCTGTGTGGTGACCAAAAGGCCGGAATCGTTCGCAAACAGTGCGTACGCAAACCGCGCTGGGTGAGCAAGAGAGTTTGGGGAACAACCAACATGTTGACAGGCCACACGACATGGTGGACTGCACTTTTGAGGTAAGGCTTAGGCTGGATTTGAATAGGAAAATGCTACTTGATAGAGGTCAGTTTGACTTGTGCCAACCTGTGCGGGTCTAGTTTAGGTTGTATACTGTATACTTCAATGCTTACGGAAGTAGCTGGTGAGTTCATGTTGTTAGTCCCGAACACCTGATAACATCTGAAAACGATAGTCACTCATTTTACCCAGAAATCACTATCAAGGCTCAAAGCTTCAATTTTAGGGAAATGTGCTTCAAGGAAGGGGAAGGGCCCTTACTTCTGGGTCCAGATAGCCCAGATTGCCCAGATTCAGAATGGTTTTGTTGGTTCCAGTTCTAAATTAGGTTCCAGATTATAAGACTGGTCGAACTGGAAGCGTGCTGCACCAGTCGCTTCTAGAAGCTATTGACTTGAGGACAAATGTATGGTACAATTCAAGAACTCTTGGAACCACTTCGTTGAACACAAACATAGACAGTTTGGCAAATTGACTGACGATGCTTGGGCTCCTTCAACATGTCAATGTGCTGTCAACATCTCACCTACGCGGCTACCGCCCAACCCTCAATCGCCAGTGTGGCTGGCCTTTGAAAGCGAGAAGCTTCAAAAAGGATGGTTGATTTGGGTGGGAGCAACGCATCAAGAAATCGGAATGCTGAGGGCAGGCCAAGTGCAAAGAGTAATTACAGTTTATCATGTTACATCCTCAGTTCCATTGGATGGGCCATTGTCAGAAGAATTTGGGTGTTTTCATTTTGCAATTCAGCTCCCTGGTTTACCAATCCATTTGATCCGGTTGAAAATCCTTTGAAAGGCGGGCACCCCAAGTTCTGTCCTACATTTATGGCTAGGGCAACTTGACACAGTGTTCCAAAACAGGTTTCCCCCGTGCCAAGTCACCCAGCCAGGAGCTCTCAGCCAAGGTGGACGATGCCAAAGCCAAGTTGCGAGCACAACTGGAGGCACTGTCGCCCGGTGCGTTGACAGGGCAGGAAAATGAGTTTTCCATTCAGGACTGGATGCCCAAGAAGCCGATGTTTTGTGGGGGCTGCAGGAAGGTAGGGTAAAAAGATGGCGTCGTACGGAGCATCCGCACCGGTGCGAAACACGACGACATGTTCCGCATGCAAAGGAGTCGTGACAGAAGCATTCTGTTCAACATCAGGAGTTGAGAAGGTTAAACGATTGTCTTCGAGTTTTGATTTCCGACCATATTCATATTCCTCGAAGCTGATCCGGTTGATCCCTTGTTGAAGAGCGGTGTTAGCTTTTGTTTGCTATTTGGCTACTTGGATGTGTCATAATCATACTATGAGAAATGGAATTCAGGGTTGTAGCTCTCAGAACTCTTTTGACACAATTGCACTGAAGTATACGCATACCGCATACCATTGCTCGCAAGTGTCAGATTATCACTGCATGCCCTTCATGATTACCAAGTTGCTAAGACCCCACACCCCTCAATTTGTGTGGGAATACGAATATATATACCGTACCCCCATTCTTACCCCACACCCCATACTCCCCAGTACGCGGGTCTAGCAGTACGGTCTTCCATGCCTGTTCCCCACTGGGGCGGCTGCCAGGAAGCCCGAAAGCTGGCTGAGGACCGGTGGAAAGAGCTGGAGGAGAAGCAAGTGGAGAACGCCAGGCTCCCCGTGGTGCTGCGACCTGCAGGATGTTGGTACGGAGAGTTCATGATCCACCAGTGCCGGGCAGATGGGAAAGCTTCATTTCACATCAACATCCAGCATTTGCTAGCACCATGCAATCAAGTGGGGATGAGAGTATGGCCCAAAGCTATTGGCCTTCTTAACTTAAGCCGTCCAGTCCAGGAAAGAATTCAACTCCTGCATTTTCGGGGCTCATCTCGAGCTGCTGGCTACAGGCCATTTTGGGTAACTTGGAAGATGTTTGTTGTGTTGCCACGAGAAGAGGAACCACCACAAATGCACAGACCCCACATGTGTCCTGGCTCCACGCGAAACCGCGCAACCACGGCCCTTTCGGCGGGCCCCGCCTCGGCGGAGCGGCAGGCTGTCGGAAGAGCTCCAAAGACAGACAGTGCTGCTGCACCAGAATGCTGAAGCCAAGAGCCACCTGGACGAGGAACGGTTGAGGCCCATGCGTTTGCAACGGAAGGAGACGGCCGAGGGAAGGTGAGAAAGTGGGTGTGAACTGGTGGATTTGGGACACGTTGGGACACAAACATGCAGCAAATTCGGAGTTGGAGAGCGGTGGCTTTGTTCTCCTGGTTTTCGATGATGCATCTGGCTCAGCTTTGGGCCAGGCAGGCGTCTCAGGTGCGCCTGGAGCAGCAGCAGCTTGAGGAGCTCCAGCGGCAGACGCAACGCCAAGAGCAGGAGAAGGCGGATCTGCAGAAGGACCTGGCTGTGCGGTCTGGTGATGGTGGGGAAGTCTGAATCAGCAGCTTGAGGTGGAAGTGGTGGTGGGGCACGCAGAAGATTGAAATGATTCCTACGGTTAAAAAAATCAAGATCACAGAAAGCTGGTGTGAAAACCTGAGACTCATTTTGTTGGGTTGGGCCCCAGTTGGGCTTATCGGTGGGATGAACTTTCCAAGGACAATCTTGCTGTCAATTTGAGTTGCGGTGTTTTTCCTCAAAACATTAAACAGCTAGTTACCCCAGACTAGGGGACAAGGTGCAAGAACAACCCCACATCGGTGTTCTGTGAGTTCTTCGGTGCCATGGCAGCGTCATTCTTCCGGCAAGAGGAGCTGGCTGAAGCCAAGAAGGAGGTGGAAGCTCAGAGCAGCCAGTCTTGAAAACCGCTTGGAATGATGGGGCGGAGCACATGTTGGAAGGATATAGAAGGGCTCCGGAACGCTCAAAGGAATGCTTCGTATTTCCTCAGACGTACTGTAAATGACAATGAACTCCTGCATGCAGGACACGTCTCATCAGCCCTTTGGATCGATTGATCCATTGATCGTACGGTTTGAATGGTGATTCGGCTGGTGCAGATTCGGCTCTCCTAGCCCCAAATCCATCTGTACTTTCAGTGTCACTCGACCTGGTCCCGGACATGTTAGTACTACCTCGACTGTCAGTCCTAAACTGGCTCCATTCCTCAGTGGACTGAACTGTCCCTTGGACCCCCTTTTTGTTGATCGAAATTGCGTCGCCCGGGGGAAGAATGCAAGGCCCAAAATGTATCCTTCTGGCCGTGCCGGCGTCCTGTTGGGCCACGCTTTGGGCACGTGTTAGGTAAACTCCTGGAGGAGAATGCTCGACTGGCACAGAAGATGGCCAGTGATGTAGAGGTGAGGATGCGGGAACTTTGCAGCTTCTGAGACTTGCCCAGAAAACCTCCGCAGAGCCAAAAGGGCAGAAAACTGGTGGCCATTGGTGGACCACCCGACCAGTAAAGGAACGGGCCATCCATTTTCTCTTGACGGGCATGCATTTAACCTCCTGTTAGAGCTGTGGGACTTAAGACCTGCAGGTGATGTTGGCAACTTGCCAAGAGGATTTTGGATTGTTCAAACCGCTGCACTCTGTTGTTGTAGTTTCTTTTATCGTGTGCTGCATGCTTGCCCTTTAAAGGATGTTGGATGCTACAGATGTTCATCCACGAGCGATGTACGTACAGCGAGCACATGATTTATCATTGAATCCTCCACGATGTATCACTGGATGATGTGTTTCTTTTTTTAATAGTTTGGTTATGTTGTACAGTGGATCTGGTTTGTAGTGAACAATAATAGTGAACATGTTTATATCGCTGGATTTTGGTTGTTTGACGGTGGATGAGACCATCGGCCACATCCTGCGGTCTCTCCTTGCAGGCTGCACGTGCAGAGGCTGAGCTGCAGAAGGAGGACGCCCAGACAGCGAAAGAGGCGAGCATCCTGGCAGTACGGCGTCAGGGGATCAAATCACAAAGCACCAACAGTATAGCAACAGGACAATTGAAATCATCGCGTTGTTGTGGTACTGTACGAGGTGGAAACACCAATTGAATATGAAACCATGACCGGCCATACTGGTTTAACATGTTTTAACTGTGGGAACTCTTCAATGTCCAATGACAGTTTCAAAGAACACTGTTGAAACACATGTCCAAACATGTGTGAGTGTTTATATAACTTATAACCATACTGATTCACAACAACCAACAGTGATGTTCACCTGTTTAATTGTAGTACTCTGTGTCAGGATTTTTTGGTTCGAACTTATACAAATGTTTAACAAT